TGTGAAATTAAATGACAGGTTTCCGTGATGGACCTGAATTCGAATTTCGCGCTCGAAAAACCCTAACCTAACTAATATGGTCTATAAAAACTTTTAGATACTTTTTTCCTCTTCTTGTTCTGTTGTTCTTCTTCTCCATGTTCTTCTTCTTCTCCATGTTCTTCTTCTTCTCCAAGTTCTTCTTCTTCATCCTAAGTGCAAGTAAATTGCTAATAGTGATACATCGCATGTCCCCTCGTTGATATCAAACAAATCCTCAACTGTTGGTGATTCAACATTGGAGTATTGGAGCACGACCGGCCTTGACAATTTGGACATCCTTGAGACAGTCCAACCACATTACATCTCTTTTTAGAGTTGCCAAAAATTGTGTTCAGTAGTTTTTCCGGCGCAGGTGGGAGTAAAGTCCGAACTGGTTCTAATGTATTGTCGACCAATTTCCAACCCTTTGGGTCCAGCTGATAACCAAACCACACTTGAACTTGGTAATATACCCGTAAAAGATGTTAATGAGCAATCGCTAAAGTTGCATGAAGACAAGCTGATTGCACTTGTTTTTTATTTATCCAAGCAGGAAGTTTTTTAAGGGCTTCATAGATATACAGAAGAAAGCGCATTCCATTGGTAATAATTTCTTGACGTTGTTCATAAAATTGTTGTGATATTGTTCTGTTCCATGACAACTCGATGTTGGGATTGTTATTTCCTCGGAATCGAAATTCAGTCTTTCAGCGGCCGATACGCAAATAACGGATTTGGTTGTTATAATCCTCGGCTGTGCCTCGGATTACAATATTCAACTTCAGCCGTTATTTGCTACTGTAATAAGTTAGATATATTATTTTTCGTTAAATATTGACTTCCAAAACAGATGGGTTTTCGTAGAAAAAGGGAACCTTTATCAGCTTTCAGTAATAATTTTAGGTCAATCAGACCCAAAACGTCAGATCGAAGTAATCTGAGTTTCACAAATTGAAAATTAATATTAATGAATACATTTTTTTTTAAATTATTGAAATATTTTCAAGGTATTATTCAAGGGAAAAGGATGTCAATAAATGGAACTGATGTAGATTGTTTTTTTATTAAAACATTTGAACATAATAATAGAAATATCTAACTTTTCAAATATAACTGTATATAATATGTGAAACGTTGGATATTTCAAACCAAAATACGAGCTGCAACAGATATGTACAAAGTTGGGTTAATCTAATTTCTCGTGTCGAAGAGTTTTTGACGAAACAAAAACCAAAATGAGTTTATATGCATCTTGGCTTCGATATTTTATCTGTCACAATCAGCACGCACGCTCCGCTGGCAGTTTCATAACATCTGCGATTTTTTTTAGGACCCCGATAAATAGTATTAATCCCCATAAGTTGAACATACCCCCTTTTCTGGAATATTACAATTTTCGTTTACCTTCATAGTCGATTTCGACTCCGAGTGATAAGTCTATGATGGTTTGACTTTTTTTGCCTTTTCGGAAATATATACCAAATGCACTTTTTCATTTGCCCCATAGATTTTTTTTACCTCTCTGAATTTCAAAGTCTCTATATTTTTTGACATACATTGATATAGTCGAATATCCAATAATGAGAATACATTTGAATTTCGCACTTAAATTGGAGGTAACTCTGAATAATTCCGAAAACTCTAACATCATCATAACCTGGCTTTGAGATCACAACAACACAAATCAAAAATAAATAGTATTTCTGTGGTCGTTAGCCGTACTTGTTTTGACTACGGAATCACTCGGGGGATTACTCAGAACGACATTAAAGCATTTCTTTTGTAACTCGGACAAGATATTGGTTGAATTGATTTCAATGTCATCAAAACCCCAGCCTTCTCGCTCGATCGATCGTTCTATGCCCAGTTTTCATCCACAATTACAAAAGGAATGCTATGATAGCTATTTTTATAATATAATATAAATTGATTTGATAACCCTGAAAAAAATCAAAAAGATTAACCGAAAATAACAATTTTAATAAACAAAAAACTGAAATTACAAAGAAGAAACCGCCTGAGAAGGCTCTACCAGCGAACCCTTTTCCCAGGGGACAAAACAGCGGCGAATAGGATGGCCAATCGTGTCAAACAGGCCATCAATGAACATCGAAACGAAAGGTGGGAAGAGCTCTTGGAATCCTTCGAACCTGGGAGTGACGAGCTTTGGCGAGTCACTCGTAGGCTCAGGGGGAAGAAGACTGCTCTCTCACCCATTCACGGAGAGCGCGGAGTGTGCTACTCCCCCGCCGACAAGGCGTTAGCCTTTGCAGACACGATGGAACGTCAGTTTCAACTTAACGTTGACGACGACGACGACATCGACCGCGATATGCTGCTGGAAGACCGGGTTCACCGACTTCTCAGGGAGGATGACGACGACGACATCCGTCCAGCTTCTATGGAAGAGCTGAAGGGTCACATCAAGGCGGCAAAAGCCAAGAAAGCTCCGGGGGCCGATTCAATAACCAACAAGTTGTTGAAGAGACTCCCGGAAAACTGCGTTGAATTCTTGCTAAGTCTAATCAACAGTTCGTTGGCCCTCAGACACTTCCCTAGAAGGTGGAAGCATGCGATCGTCGTCATGCTCCCGAAACAGGGTCAGAACCAGCTGTTCCCGCAGAACTATCGCCCGATCAGTCTACTCTCATCGGCGGCTAAGCTGGCTGGCTCGGTGTAGTTCATGCATTGTGTTGTTTTGTGCAAGCGAAAAACGTTTCTGGTGAGTACGTTTGAATATTTCTTTTTCGTTACTTTCTTGATGCTCAAAGCTACTGGTTGTTTCAAGTCACGGTAGTATGGAGGAACTGCTATGCAGCCTGGCTGGGAAAGAGAAGGGCGAGATTATTGGTTTTATAAGTCAATTAATCTCTGCTCTTGGTCTGACTCAGTCGTACTTGCTTGGTAAAGCATTGCCAAGCCCTGGGAACGACCGCCACGTGCTGGCGGACCGCGAACAGGGAGTGGCTAATGCTCCATCTGCGCGTGAGTATTTCTCTGAACGCGAGGTCAGCGATGATAACGATAATATAAGCGTACTTTCCTTCGCTTCCACCGCCTCTAAAAAGAGGCGACTCGACGACGGCTTTCCTCCGCTACCTGACGTCTCGAGACGTCGAATTGATGAGCGGACAAAAAAAGTAGTTATAGAACAACCAAAGCCAGCTAAAAAGAAGCTCAAAAAGCTGAAGAAAAAAGCGGCTTTGGAAAGCGTCAGAGACGAGGCTCGGAAGTACTATTCCGAATCCGAGACCTCCTCTCATCAAATAGCCCACGATCGGGTTAACGAGGTGGCCACTTCAAGCAAACATAGTACTGACGATGCAGAAATGGACACGATTGTAAGAGTCAAACGACAGTGCCTCCAAAAAGTCGGAAAACACAGTCAAATCCCTACACGACGAGGAACCCACCCCCCCTACCCCTCTGAAGCAAGACATCCCGTCTTCAGCTTCAAAGGCCAAAATCCCACCCATTGTTGTTCGACAGAAGGACAAATGAGTATCGCTGCTAAAATTGACGGCCCAAGAGAATATCAAGTTCTCAAAAGCCGTCAATCTACATGATGGCATTAAAGTTCAGCCGGTGTCTCCTGACGACTATCGGCGACTGACAAGGCTTTTGGTGAAGGAGAAAATCCCTCACCATACTTACTCGCTCCCTGAGGAGCGGCAAATACGTGCCGTTTTCAGGGGAGTGCCAGAGCACTTAGCAGTCGACGATATGCGTGAGGAGCTCGAAGTAAAGGGCTTTGACCTCACCAGCGTCACGCGCATGAAGCGCGCTGGCAAACCTATGCCTTTTGTCCTTGTTTTGGTAAACAGGGACCAGAAGCATATATTTGAGGTCAAAGACCTCTTAAGTGTGAAGGTTCAGGTTGAACCCCAGCACGCAAAAACTTCAGTGGGCCAGTGCCACCGATGTCAGCACTTTGGTCACTGCCAGCGTAATTGCCTAGCAGTGCCCATCTGCGTCAAGTGCGCTGGCAGGCACCTAACCAGTGCCTGCAAAAAGGCAAGGACTGACCCTCCGAAGTGTAATAACTGTAAGGGGGTACACAGCCAATTACCGCGGCTGCCCCGCGTTCCTCAAGGTACAAAAAAGGGGCAGCTAGAGGCCCCTATAAACATAAACCACTGCAATAATATAAGCCCTTGTATAGAGATAATCCCTTCAGATCTTGAATGCTATATGTCTCTTGCCGAAGAACGCCCCCTTCAGGGAAGAAATCTACGTTGTGACATAACTTGGTTTGGGTGATAACTGGTTATCAGTTATGACCCGAAGACAACTGTGGATACTAACAATCGAAACGTTGTGACAAAACTTGGTTTGAAATCTTTCAATTTTTATTTTTTCATTTTTTGTTAATACTATTTTTAATTTTTTCGACTGTTATTAATATTTCAATTTTTATTCGTTTGGTTGTTGTTGTATGTTATTTCTTTGTAATTTCAGTTTTTTCTTTAATAAAATTGTTATTTTTGGTTAATCTTTTTGATTTTTTTTTAGGGTTATCAAATCAATTTATATTATATGTATTAGACAATGGAAGTCCGAACAGATGAAATACACCACGAAACATTGTCAACCACCTTCAAACAAATAGCTATTTATGATGCGAGTGTATTGTTTACAGCTCACGCATTTTATTTAAAATCACATTTAAAGTTCTTGCTGGTGTTTAATGTACATAATAATTTGTAACATAATTTAATTGTTTATAATAAAACTTCCTTGAAAATTGAATAATTATGTTTTGTTTACTGCTATTTGGTCAAAAAAAATCGTGTTAAAAATAATTTTAACACTAGTGATAAAAGTATTTTAACACGCTACTTTGTAAACATCTTTTAATACTCTTGTCTACTCTTTGCTCTTGACAACCATTAAAAATGTCACTTTTAATGACAGTTGTAGAAAAATCATTTTGGTCACACCCAGTGCGTTCCAAACGTCAACTCGAATGCAGCTATATAAGAAGTTTGAAGTTTGTCAAATGGTCAACCAATCAGGGAAAGATACGACAGTAGAAAGATCTAGAAGTATTTTTGTACACCGTTTGAAAAGGATGACGTGTTTCATTATCCTTGGTCCAAAGCTAACTTAATACCTTTGTTAATACGCATATTTCATGCCACGTATATTTTAGTGTCAGTAATAAAGTGAAGGCGATAGTTACGATTTTACGAAAAGTGTAACGCGAATTTTTATTCGAAAAAGAAGAAATATCATTGAAGTGTCTCCAGACGTGAAAAAGTTGAATATCAAAATAAATAGTTCATAATGGCAGCTGCATCTGTGCAGACATTTCTAAATTCTTTTGATGCAAAACTGTAAGAAATAAAAATCTCCCATGAGTAAATTTAAATATTATTTTTCATTTTACAGAGAACAACCTGTAAGAGCTCACCTTAAAAATGTATATGCGTGTTTGGCAATGTCTACAATGGCTGCTGCTGTTGGAGCATCAGTTCACCTTTTCACTAACATACTGCAAGCTGGATTCATATCCGCAATAGGAGCTTTGGTTTGTTTCTACCTTTTGATGAGTACACCTGATGATAATGGCAAAGCAATGACCAAAAGAGTAGGATATCTCTTAGGATTCAGCGGACTCACTGGTGTCGGCATGGGGCCACTTCTAGAACACGTCATACTTGTGAATCCCACAATAATTGTTACAGCTTTCTTTGCAACATCTGCAGTATTCGTCTGTTTTTCTATATGTGCAATGTTATCGGAAAGAGGAAAATGGTTGTACCTCGGCGGTACTCTGATGTCCATGCTGACAGCTTTGATGGTCCTTTCATTTGCAAACCTATTTTTTGGTGCTGTTTGGATTTACCAGACACAGTTATATCTGGGACTTCTGGCCATGTGTGGATTCGTCTTGTTTGACACACAAATGATTATTGAGAAACGTAGAGCAGGAAGTAGAGACTTCGTAGCACATTCTTTAGATCTGTTTGTGGATTTCATTGGAATTTTCAGAAGACTGTTGATCATTTTGACCCAGAAGGTAATTCAAGATAGGTATATTTTCAACCTTTTTTTATCCAAAGTTCCTTTTTTCCTTTTTAGCCGTTTCCCGAAAATTCCATAGATATAAAGAAATATGGGCAAAGTTTTTAAAATCAAACTTTGACTCGATGACTATAAACAAATAGGAAGTATATATAATCCAGACAATTGACTCATAATGTTTCGTGGGTTAATTATCTAATTGAAATTATTTTTAAGGCAGAATTTGCATGGAGCTTTTTCTTCATTATTTCACTAGAAATGGGCAAGATGTCAAATTAACATTTAAATGAAATTAATAAAAAAAAAACTTTTGTCTAAATACCACTGGTAAATTTTATTTATACGACCGGTTTCGGTTTTGACCCAATTATCTAATATAAATCTGAATTTTGAAATATCGATTTTATTAGAATTTTCAGGTATGCTACAAGGACAGGTATTTGAGAGACAGGATGCCAACTTAAAATACCACTCTAAAAATCCTAGGCTTTGTTAAACTCATAAATTCAAGATAGGAGATCTACATAAATCAAGTTGCCCGTTTAGGGGTATATGTTTCTGGTTTTTAATTGATTTGTTAATTTCCATGGCCTCCAACATATTCATTTTTCTCCCTTTTTTACATATATGTAGGATTTTGAGGTTACCTTCATTTATCTTGTGGTTTGATTCTTGAAGATGTTCGTTCATTGCAGATTTTTTGTCCAAACAGACGTGTTCACTGCAGTATATACAAGCCAATCCAGTAAAAATTTTGAAATAAGACTGCGTTGGAGGCCATGGAAATTAACAAATCAATTAAAAACCAGAAACATATACCCCTAAACGAGCAACTTGATTTATGTAGGTCTCCTCTTTTGAATTTATGAGTGTAATAACGCCTAGGATTCTTAGAGTGGTATTTTAAGTTGGCATCCTGTCTCTCAAATACTTGTCCTTGCAGCATCCCTGAAAATTCTAATAAAATCGATATTTCAGATTTATACTTGATAATGGAGTCAAACCCGAAACCGGTCGTATAAATAAAATTTACAGTGTTATTTAGACAAAAGGTTTTTTTTATTAATTTCATTTAAGTGATCATGAATTACCATAAAGTAAACAAGTCATCAATCGCACATATCAAGTTAACATTAATATTAACAAATTTGTCATTTTCTGATAATTAAACCATTTTATTTGTTTATCCCATCGAAAACAAGGTATGAATTAGTTACTTATGGATTATTTGGAAAATATTTTTAAAGTAGTCAAAAACTTGCTGTAGTGGGTTATGCAAACGATATCAAAAAAATAATTTGATAAAACAGAAAGAAAAAAATTATGCTTCTTCATAGTCTGTGAGAATATATAAGAATAATCAAAATCAATTTTGAAGCATGGATTGATTCATTTGAATCTCTAGTTGTGGTTTTTTATACTTGATTCTGGGAAAGACAAAAAATAATATCTTTAGTTTGTTGATAACTATTTTTCATTCAGTGATAACTTGCAGTGCACACTATAAAACACATCGTTTTTCTAGTGTAAGGTACTGTTCTTTATATATTCATATAGTATTTTGTGAACCTGTAGGGATCTGATGATATATATTCTGGATTTTTTTAGGAACAGGACTCGCGCAAGAAACGCAGAGACTGAGAATGACTGAACATCGGGGGTAAAAAGGAATTTGGGAAGGGTGAATGAGTTTTTTTGGTGAAGTGATTCAGAATAAATATTTTCCTCTATATAGAGTGCTAATAAATGATTATGTGATTTTAATTTTTTTTTATTACTTCAATATTCTGTAGACTGTATAAATTTAGAATGTGTTCTAGTTATTTAAAATAAATACTTATTTTTGTTAAATGTGTTTTTACCAAATGTAGTTGACTACACACATATTGTGTAGAGGTACACAATTTCATCAAAATTAGCTGTTTTTTTTTTATTTCTTCTAATATTTTCTCTCACCAGTGTAGATTTCTAAAAATTCATGCAAAAGAGGATAATGAAATATGAACGTTTTTATATTGAAGATTTATTTATTTATATATACAGGGGCAAGCCCAATTCGGATATAAGTAGTACAGTGCTATGTAGTACTTGATACAATACAGTGGATTAAAAGTAAGTTATAACAATAATACAATTCCGAAGTAAGATAGCAAATAAATTATTAAGAAAAAATTAAAATGTATAACAAAATGAACTAATATAATTCTTACAGGCAAGTAACACTAGACACAATACAACAACATAAGCAGAGAGTATTAGATGGTTAAGTGAAGAATATGGTTTTTAAAGCGGGATACTGATATATTAAAGATTTTAAGGTTGTTTAAAGAGTTAGCCAATCTAAGAGTTCTGGGAATAAAGCCGTTATATGAATAATTGAATCTGTGAAAAGAAACGTAAAACGTTTGCACCTGTCTAGTTTAACGACTGGGGACATGTAAAGATATTTTGGAGAGAAGCTCGGGACTGATATTCAGTCCTTTGATAATTTTGAATAGTAGTATTACATCTCCATGTTTTCTGCGAGTCTCAAGAGAAGGTATGTTCAAAATGCATTCCAATGCAGTGCAGTATAGTCATAGTATACATGTTTCTTGAAGGCAATATATCGCAGGAAATTATGCTGTACGGCCTCGAGTTTCTTTTTTTGTGTAACGTAGTGAGGAGACCAAACTGTGGAGCAATAATTGAGATGAGATCTAACCAGGGAAAAATAAAGAGATTTAATAGCAGTGATGTTGATGAAATCACGAGTGGTTCTCTTTATAAAGCCAAGCATTTTCATAGATTTTTTAATTACAGTGGAAATGTGTGATTTATAGCTAAGTGTGGAGTCTAGGATCACACCTAGATCTTTGGTTTCAGTAGCAGAATGTAAGGTCCGATTATTTATACTATATTCCAAAATGATTGGGTGATGTGTTCGATGAAAGCGAAGAATTTGGCATTTGGATGCATTCAAACACATACCATTTTGCGAACACCAGTTGGATAAGCAATCTATATCGTTTTGTAGACACAATGTATCAGCTTCACTTTTAATTATTTTAAATCGTCGGAAAATAACAAAGCTTCGCTTTCATGGAAACAGCTGATTAGATCGTTGATAAAAAGGTTAAACAACAGTGGTCTCAAATGTGAACCTTGTGGAACAGCCGATGTAACTGCGATGGTATGAGAATAATAATGATTTCTTTCCCAAATAATGATTAATTCTAACAATTTGTGTTCTTTCCGTAAGATAGCTCTTGAGCCACTGCAATATTTGCCCATCAACACCATATAAACAAAGTTTATGGATCAATAGCTCACGATGAACTTTGTCAAAATCTTCGGAGAAATCAGTGTACACAGAGTCAACTTGCAAACCCTTAGACAGAGCGTCAGACAGAAAATCAACGTAGGTAATTAGACCCAGTTCAGCTGACTTTTTGGATGTAAATCCGAATTGTTCGGTCCCTATAATTGGGGAGCAGTCATGAGTAAGATAATCAAAAGTGATGCTCTCAAAAGCTTTAGGGATTGCGCTAAGAATAGAAATTGAACGATAATTACACACGTCGGATTTTCGACCTGATTTATATATTGGGGTGACATATGAGGTTTTCCAATAGTCCGGGAATTTGCCAGATGATAGGAAATTATTAAATATATAGAAAAGTGGTCGAGCTAAAATAAAGCTAAATGATTTAGGAAAAGTTGGAGGAATTCCATCAGGACCGGGGCCTTTGTTGATATTAAGTTCGGAGAGTTTTTCTTAAATTTTAGAGATTTCAATATGATAATTGGACACATTGACCATGGATGTAATATTTGTATCATAAGGATGTAAAGATTGACTTGTATAGACGGAAGAAAATTGATTAGCAAAAAGGTTGGCAATATCGATCCCATTGGTAGCAGTACGATTACCAGAAGTCATTGTATTAGGTATAGTGTTATTTTTTCTTTTGCTGCTTGCAAATTTCCAAAAAGATTTAACATTATTAATTATAGAATGTTCAGTGCGTTGGATGTAATCTGTATAACGTTGCCTGGATAAGGATTTACATCTTGATCTTAAATCGCTAAATGCTGCGTAGCTTTCTGGACACCTTGTGCTCTTGTAGATCTTGTGAGATAATTTCTTTTCATAAAGTAGTTTCTTCAGCTCAGGGGAGTGCCAGCATGGAAATCTCCTTTAATAGATTTTTTTGAGGAACGAAGAGCTCAATGATAGAATAAAGAATGTCGTAAAATATTGAAATCATATCAGAAAGCTCCTTTCCATGTAATGCACCATCCCAATCGATTGCTTCAAGGGTCGAATTTATCGATGTATTGTCAGCGAGAAGGAAGTCATAGTAATATTCTTCACCAGATGAATATTCGTTTGAGATTTTGAGTGGCAAATAACATTCAAGTGGAAGATGATACGAGTCTTCAGGAATTAAGATGTCGACAGCCTTCAGTACCGTAAGATCTACTGGTGATAAGATTAGATCAAGAGTAACTCCTCTATCGTTGAATATTTCGTTGGATTGAAAAAGATTGAGAAAAGCACACATGTTGGATATCGTTTCAATAGAATCTATCTCAGATCGAGTGAATAGAGGCAGAGGAGAAGCAATAATCCTTCAATATTAGTGGCCAGTGAAGCTCCTTTTCAGTTAATTGAACCACAGCTTTTGCAATATCTTGAGTTTCATGTATGGGTGCGAAGTTATTTATGAAGTATACTAATGAAAAATATTGAATTATTATTTTTTCACTTAATGACTTTGAACACCTACCATTTTTCACTTTTATACTCTTGTTGACCTACAGTGAAAAAAAGTCACAACTTGTAAGCCCTCTGAAGAGGTGAAAACATTTAAAAAATCATAACATGAAAAACGTCACGTCCAGGCCGTCTGGGGTGGTAGAAATGGGGTGGATTCTTTAAAAATTGTATCAAAATTCGAATCTGTATAACTAAAAAATGGAGACGTGTTATTCCTGATGACCGTTTCGACAAAATGAACTTCACTTTATAGTTATCCAGGCCGTCTGAAGGGGTGGAAGTGGGGTGAAAACTTTTTAAAATCATATCACCGAAAATTGAATGTTTACACCTACAAGATTGAGATATGTTATTCCTGATGATCGAGTCAACAAAAAAAACTTCACGTCTGAAGGGGGAAATATATGGTAGGTGTGTATATTCAAAAATTTGTATGGCTGAAAATTTACCTACTACCTACTAAATTAACTTTATCATTAAACAACAATATCTGCAAATAGGACATTATATTCAATATTACAATGGAAAATATTGATTATGCTGAATTACTTTTTCTTTTCTTGTTTTCCACTTTGTTCTATAAATGAATGTAACTGGATTGGTTCAGTTGATAGCTAGTTGGATATTGAGTTACACTTATGAAACAACCGTTATTTTGAATGTGCGTTCGATCCGTATTATGCACATGATGCATGATTTGTAAGACACGCTTTAAGTGGGTCGCACAATATGTTCAATCCTCAAACTTTGCGGATTGCCATTCGTAGGAGGCGACAACTGCTTGAATGAAAAGTCTATTTTAATCCCACTTCAAACCAAATATTATTTCAAAGTTCATTATTTGTTTATTTATTTGGTCAGTTTGGGTTGGGAATCACACGTTAAAAGGCAAGACCTTGTTAATCCTTAGCTTGCACAAGTTTCGACCACAGAGAGATTCTCTCTGTGCACATGCAACCACATGGATATATATATATATATATATAT